TTCCACAGCATCAGCCACGGGCACCCTGTGGGCACAGGCCTCCCGACACGTGGGGCTGCCAGCGTCGCAGCGGACTGCACAGCAACGGGGTCTCTCCTTGTGACCCGGGCCTCTCCGCCTCACCCCTCCTCGCCGTGCTCCGACCACACGGCCTTCACGGCCCAGCAGACCCCCAGCTGGGAGACTCCAGGTGCAAAGGCTCAGGTGCCTTCCTCCCCCGGCACCTCCCCCTCCCCCTCCTAGGTCCCCTGCGAGCCGGGGAGCACAGACACCGCGCGGCTTACACACGGAAGCTCTTTGGCGGCCCCTGGCAACCAATCTGTCGGCACCATGTCAACACCAGCCGCGCGCGCTGTCTCTGTTCCGTCTGGTCATTCTCACGACAGTTCCAACGTTTTCAGCAGCTGTTGCCCACGTCACAGAAGTCAATCCATGCCGACAGAGCTGTTAGAAGCGCTGGGAGACCCTCACATTTGTGACTGCCTTTATTCCAATATGCGCCTCCTCACAGTGGTCTGGGGCCAACCCCACAATTGTCTGAGGTCGGCCTGTACCCCGCACCCCTCCTCACTCCACGAGGTCAGCGTGTATCCCACGTCCCCAGTCCATGAGGTCAGCCTGCACCCCGCGCCCCTCCCCAGTCCACAGGGTCGGCCTGTACCCCACGTCCCCAGTCCACGGGGTCGGCCTGCACCCCGTGCCCCTCCTCACTCCACGACATCAGTCTGTACCCCACGCCCCTCCCCCGTCCACAAGGTCGGCCTGCACCCCACGCCCCTCCCCACTCCACGAGGTCAGCCTGTACCCCACGTCCCCAGTCCACGGGGTCAGCCTGTACCCCACACCCCTCCTCACTCCACAAGGTCGGCCTGCACCCCGCACCCCTCCCCAGTCCACAAGCTCCAAGAAGACTGAACCCTTCCCCTCTGTCTATGGCTGTGCCTTCATTATAGACCTCTGACCTTGGCATTCAAGGCCTCTCTCAGTCTGGCCCCAAGCCCTGTCTAGCTACCTTCTCCCCTTTCCCCAGCTGTCCTGACATCCGGACGTCTTTGTTCACACTCACACTTTGGCCCATGTGCTGGTTGAGGCCGTGCGTCAAGCTGGCCAGGTCACAGTTCTCCGTGGTTAGGACGCACGCACCCCGTGATGTAATTCATCACTCCGCGATGAGATCTGCTGTGAGCAGCCCATCAGCTGACAGGCACGTTCCTCAGGGGTGTGGCCCGCCTCCGGGGCGCAGGGGCTGCCTGGGGAGGCCCAGGCTGTTTGCTCCTCTGCCTCCCGCATCGCTCATCACCTGACTGCCGGCTCCTGAACCTGACCGCAGCATTGCTGCTGACCTTGGCCCTGTCCTCTTCTCCGCCCGGGAGCCAGCAGCCCGCCATCCTACCTGCCAGTCTTGGATCTGCCGCCTCCACAGCCAGC